TTCTGGGAAGTGCAGGTGAAGTGTTGCTTCACCTGGAAGGTATGTTTGGGCCCTTGGATAGAAGGGAGGGAGGAGATAAATGTGCAGGTGTTGCACCTTCGCTGGTTGCAGGGCAAGGTGCCGTGGGGCTGTGGGGGAGTGTTGGGAGTGAAGAAAGAGCGGACTAGTGTGTCCCAGAGGAAATGGTCCCTGCGGGAGGCGGACAAGGGAGGTGATGGTGGTGGCATCTCGTTGGAGGTGGCGGAAATGGCTTCTGACAACCTTCTGGATGTGGATGCTGGTGGGATGGTAGGTAAGGACAAGGGCAACCCTATCGCTGTTGCAGGAGGGAAGAGAGGGGGTGAAGGCAGAAGTGCAGGAAATGGGTTGGACCTGGTTGCGGGCCCTGTTGACAACGGTGCTGGGGAATCCTCGGTTGAGGAAGAAGGTGAACATTTCGGAGGCTCCCTTGTCGAATTTGGCCTCATGTGAACATATGGAATAGAGACGGAGGAACTGAGAGAATGGAATGGAGTCTTTACAGGAAGCAGGGTTTGACAATGAATAGTCCAGGTAGCTATGGGAGTCAGTGGGTTTATAGTGGATATTAGTGGCTAGTCTATCCCCAGAAATGGAAACAGAGATGTCGAGGAAGTGAAGTGGGGAGTCAGAGATAGACCAGTGAAAGTGAGGGCAGAGTGGAAATTCGAAACGAGATTGATGAACTTTTCCAATTCCGGACGAGAGGGGCAAGCAGCACCGATGGTACCATTGATATATTGGAGAAAGAGTTGTTGGTGGGTGCTGGAATAGGACTGGAACAAGGAATGTTCCATGTACCCCATGAAGAGAAAGGTGTAACTGGGGCCTATGCGGGTACCTATGGCCTTGTTATCACATAGCCTGCCATAACACACTATACCCATTGTTAATCACTAACAGTCCCCATTAATAGCTATTCACCCTCCTAGCCAGATTGTTATCAACTCCTTTGTCTATCCAGCTGCTCTTCTCTCTTCAGGACCTATCCTTTATCCTATCGTTTACTCCCAGCCCATCCCCATCCCTATTTTCTGCATATAAACCGACGTTTTCCCAGCTACCATCAGTTCTGAGGAAGGGTCATCGGATCTGAAACGTTAACTCTGATTTTTTTCTTCACAGATGCTGCCAGTCCTGCTGAGCTTTTCCAGCAACTTCTGAGTGTGATGGAATGCTGTCCACTTACCTGGATAAGTGCAGCCCCAACAACACGCAAGAATCTTGACACCATCCAGAACAAAGCAGCCCACTTGATTGGCACTACATCCACAAGCATCCACTCCCTTGACCACCAATGCGGAGCAGCAGCAGTGTGTACTATCTACAAGATGCAGAAATTCACCAAAGATCCTCAGACAGCACCTTCCAAACCCATGACCACTTCCATCTAGTAGGACAAGGACAGCAAACATATGGGAACACCACCACCTCCAAGTTCCCATCCAAGCCACTTACCATCCTGACTTGGATATATATCGCCATTCCTTCACTGTCACTGTGTCAAAATCCTGGAATTCCCTCCCTAATGGCATCGTGGGTCAACCTACAGCAGATGGATTGCAGCACTTCAAGAAAACAGCTCACCACCACCTTCTCAAGGGCAACTTGGGACAGGCAATAAATGCTGGCCAGCCAGCGAAGTCCACCTCCCACAAAATGAATAAATTTTTAAAAACGGCACAGTATGTTTGACCGTCCAAATGGCCTATTCCTGTTCCTATTTTCTATGTTTCTATTACTCCTAACTCTGCCAAAGCCCCTGAGTTGGTATCAGAGATTTCTAGAGCAAAGAACAATACAGCGCACGAATAGGCCTTTTGGCCCTCCAAGCCTGCGCTGACACATTTTGACCTGCCATATTAAAATTTTCTTTCCTTATAGGATCCATATCCCTTTATTCCCTTCCTATTCATATATTCGTCCAAGTGCTTCTTGAATACTGCTTTTGTGTCTGCTTCCACCACCTCCTCTGGCAGCGCGTTCAGACACTCACCATCTCTTTTAAACTACCCCCCTCGCACCTGAACCTGTGTCCCCTAATAATTGACCCCTTCACCCAGAGAAAAAGCCTCATACTTTCCACTCTATCCATGCCACTCACAATCTTGTAAATTCTGTCAGGTCGCCTCAACTTCCTGCGTTCCAGTGAATATAGACCCAGTCTTTCCAACCTTTCTTCATACCTAAAATCCCCCATACCAGGCAACATCCTGATAAACATTTTCTGCTCCTTCTCCAAAGCATCCACATCCTCCTGGTAGTGTGGTGACTAGAACTGTATACAATATTCTACGTGTGGCCTAACTAAAGTTCTATAAAGCTGCAGCATAACTTGTCTATTCTTATACTCAATGCCCCTTCCAATGAAAGCAAATATGCCATAGGCCTTTTCTATTACCTTATCTACCTGCGCTGCCACCTTCAGTGATCTGTGGACCTGCACACCCAGATCTCTCTGCATATCAATACTTCTAAGATTTCTGCCATTTTTCTGTACAATTTATTTTGTTGATTTATTGTGCTGGAACCCCCAGCATGGTGGGTGCCTTCCTCAACTTCAGGGTGGATTTCTCCCCTTCTCCTTTGAGATATAGCTTGCAGCACTTACAGTAGCAGACACATGGTGCCGGTGTGAGATTGACATTGCAATTAAGCACACAGCTACATGTGGGTGTCAGTTAGCTCAGTTGGCTGCAAGGCTGGTTTGTGATGCAGAGTGGCGCTAACAGCGTGGGTTCATTCCCGCACTAGCTGAAGTTGTCATGAAGGTCCTGCTTTCTCAGCCTCAACCCCATCTTGAGACGTTGTGTTGAGGTAAAACTCACACCAGTGTCTCTCTCCAATGAGAGAGCACAACTATGATCCTCTGGAACTATGGCGACTTTACTTGTACCACAATTGTATTCATCTCATCGAACGATGACTGCTGACCAGCATGACAAGCTGCCTGGCTCTGTGCCCATATTAAAAGGCAAGGAATTGCAGCTGTTCAATGAGCCTTTCAGCTCTGGCTAAGGGGACAAAGCACTGAAAGTTAGGCATGATGTGAGCATCCAAGCAGGGACTAGGAGAGCAAATGAGTAACCCTGAAATGAAGCCCTGTCCAATCCATGAGCGGGATGCCAGTCCCTCCATGCACAATGTCCTCGCAGCAGAATTGCAAAGAAAGGTGTCTACGAACCACAACATACAGCATTACAGAACAGAACCACATCAGAGATGTGCCATGATGATGTGGTGTGGCTGACATGTATGAGACTTTGGGTGCAGGGTGACAATCTAGAGGAGCAAGCAGATAGCTGGAATTCTCAGATTTCCACTCTGACTTTCACATTAGGAATTTCTGTTGTCTACTTTGTATAGGTAATATTGGAACTTGCATTTAATGAAGTGGGATTCAGTGTAAATAAGAGTGAAAGTGAGCAATCGTGCCTGTTAACAGGAATCTTGCAGCTCCCTGATGAGAATCTCATCCTGCGGGAAAATCTGCCATGTTGCTCCTAATGTCAAAAATGGCGTTGCTTGACATCTCATGTAATTCTGTGAGATTTCTCACCAGAGCCCAGGATTTTCAGGGCCCAATAATATTCCACACAGAATTAATTTCCACCGTTGGCTTTCAACTTTCCATCTCACTCCCCGCAACCTTAAAGACTGTAAAACCAGCATTCCACAAAATTCTGTAGGTTCCACTCAATGGGTGAAAATTAGCCTATTGAATCTGGTAGTCATCGCAGTCTAATACATTAAAATCACATCCTAGGGCATACAAATTTGACAGTAGGAACAAAAACAGAAAAACACTGCATCTGTAGAGAAAACTAGATCTTAGCTCTGTGCCGGATGTTGCCCATAACAGTTGGGCACTGCAAAAGTGCATATTGGCCTTAATCAAGCAACACTGAGAAAATTAGCTAGATGCAGCAATGTTTGCATGAATGAATAATACAATTGGCTCATCCGTGATGCTGGAATAATTTATTGAAGTTCTTCAGCCTCATGCTTGAAAAATAATCATGAGTTTTAGAGCATGCCCAGCAACCTTGGAATTGCATCTCAGCATAATTAATGCCTGTGGGAAGTGGTGAGAAAATTTGAAGAGGGAAATAATTAAAAGTAGTGAATCTGTGCAATTCCAGAAAACTATATGAAGCAACAAAGGTTGTTAGCATTCACTCAGCTGAAAAATTTAATTCTAAATGTAGATGAATTAAACATTGGCCTTTAATAACCCTCATTTATTTCTACCTCTTCAGATTACAGTACTCACCAGCCAGCCTGGGAAGCATGTGGTGAAGCAGCTAGAGTCAGGTCTCAGTGAAACAGATTTAGTCAGCCTTAGACGATTACAAGTTCTGCATATTTCCAGATGTAACCCAGTGGAGTTGATGGACATGGTGTGGAACACAGAGTCAGCCATATCCAGTGAAGAAAATAACCTTGATGGTCTGTATTTGCAAGTAATTGGAGCCTGTTTTATTAAGTGATTGGATTTTTGTTTGCATTTGTTATTTATCCTTACCAAATTGTTAAAATAGGTAACTCAGCAAACTGATTAAATTTGGGATCTTGTTGGTCTGTTTAGCTGAGCAGTACATTATGATGTATTTGCGTATTCAGCCAGCAGGGAAGCTTGATATCCTGATTCCATTACTTCTACCACCTACTCATGACATAACGGGCTAGATTTTTACTTGACGTAATAATGCAAAAAGAGTGAGAGCAAATTATTAGCACATCTTGCATCTCTCTCCATTTTTATTTTCACCTCTGCAATTCATAAACAAAAGTACCGTCAGATGGTCCAGGCAGATCCATAACCGTGGTCATGTTTTAACCTCCTGTAAACAATTTGTATTACTTTATAGGCTTACTTTTGTTTGTTCCTTTGGGTTTCTGGGATAAAAAGATAAATGCTTCTTCATTTATAGTTTGAAGATTTTTTTTAACCTATTTTCCTTCCATTTGCTTCCCTCTTCTGAAAATGCTAGCCTAAAACTTTGGTGGATAGTATCTAAAAGCCTGCTGAAACCTCACTGAAATGATTCAGGTGTGTGATCTGTGCCTATTCAGGGAGTTGGGGTCAGATATGGTGTGTCTCTCTTAAAAACAGCCAGCATCTCCTAAAGAGATGGTGCACTCTTAGGTGAAATATGGCTCAGAAAGATTCAGACATGGCTTTCAGGTTCTTACGTGATATATTAGGGCTGTTCAGGGAGGTGGGACACATGAGGAGAAAGACCCTGTTTCTTCTCAAGGTCAAAAAGTCCTCCAGGCAATACAATTACTGCTAGTGGGAAGAAATCAGAGAAGAGGTAGGAAGTCCAACCTTCAGGATATGTTTGCCATGCTACTAAACTTTCTGTGATTTCGTTATAGCTACTGTCTTCTCATAGCTCCACACAGCCTCAATACTCACAATAGCTTACCTGCTTTACTTCTCTTCGTTCATCAAGGGTAATTACACCACACTTCACATCCAACCCACTGCATGTTCAATTCTCACCACTGATGAATATCTCATTCTCTTCATCACACATTTTGCACACTGCAAGCCAACCATTTAACCATGACCGGCACAGCACTAAGCCCCTCATGAGACTGCCAATATAACACTCTCTTCCTTGTACTACATAATTCCAGATGTAACCCAATGGAATTTAAGGACATGGCATGAAAGACATTGTTTGTGGCTCACCTGTAACCTTCACCAGGATAAAAGTTGTTTTTCATCGGCCAATCTGTACCCTGATTGGTTGGTTCCAACAAAAGCAACTGCATAATGAAACAAGGACACCTATTAAACAGCTAAAATTTTCCTTCAGAGTTTGGTTTCTGTAATTTATCCATCTAGAAAGATGTCAGTGTCTCCCATTGTCACTAGCCATTTGTTTCTGAATGATCCACAGTTTTCACCTCCACTCTTCGATTTGAAACTATTTTATTTGATCAGTACTTTACACCATTGAGATGTTTCTGACATTGGGTTTGATTTTATCGCCCCTCTACTGCCCACTGCTAACATGGTACATGGCTTGTAAGAGGCAGCATGTGACTTGCCCACTGCATTCCCTTCTGCCCTCAATCTGACTCCCATTTTACCGTGGCTGGTGGAGGCACGAGGCAAACTAATCACTCTTAAGCCCATTATGTTTCTGAAGTGACCAGTTCGGTGTCTCATTCCACTTCTGCTGATATTTTGCCCACAGCAGACTGCCTGAGCTGGTATCATGCAAGGCTGGGGGATCTTCCTCTGGAAGTCATATAGGGATATTCCTCAAGCACCATACTGAGATCATTCCCTTCACCCCAGCCTCTGAAACCCAGCCTCTCAATCCCGTTGCTAGGGTCTGCCATATTCTGGACTTGAATTCCAACCCCACAGCCTTTCCTTCTTCAGGGACTGCCTGTGGTCTGGCAACGGCCACTGCTTGAACCTGGCATTGCTGGGATTACAGAGCCGACAAACAAATAGATGTTCTAGTAGCTATAAGGCAGTACCTCCTTCCACAATGGGTGCAAAAATTCTCAATTAATGCTGGCAACTCATGCCAGTGTAAAGTGGTTGCTGGCAATCTAGTTTTTTTCTTAACAGTTCCCTAACAAGTTTTTAATAAGGGTTAGTTGGGGACAGGAAATACAGTCCATCATAAAATCAGTTCATTGTTTTTGCTGTCAAAGATTAGCATTCATACAAGATGCTATGAATAACTGTATCTCCTTTTCCTTGAAGATTACAACAGCACCCCATGCTACTTTCATAGTCTCAGTGATTGCAGTGTTTTTGGACAATCCACCATTCATGTAAGTCCATGAACTGCTTGACCAATTTCGTGACTTGATGGTGCATTCTCAAGGCCACCTGATGAAAGGTGAAATTCATTTTACATATTATGACTAGATTTGACCCAGATTGAGTTGGCTGGACCATCCAATTTTACCACAAAAATATTCATTTGCCAGTTGTTGGTAAATAGTTTTATGCTGGTAAATATTGTTGCAGATACTTAAAAGTGATTACCACTGCTGTTGCTACAGTTAATTATTTAATGGATGTCGTTTTTACTGCATAGAATGCTCCATCCTGGGGACAGACATCGATCTGCAGACAGTTGAGAATGATACAATCAGCCTGGATAGTTTCTTCAAGAGTTGGTTACACAATCATGGAACGGACAAGGAGCATCTTCACTTGCTGCTTCCAGCAGTACGTCTTTCCAGCTCTTCAGGAAGAAGTAATCAGTGCTATGAGTGATGACTTGGAAAAAAATTGATTAAAGCTACGCCTAAGTGTTGTCTTGGTATTGTGGAGGATTTCAGAATTCAAGGGTTTTGTTAGGTACCCTGATAACATAGTTAATAAGGATAGTGTGTGACTGGATCATACAGACTGTAGAACCATGGTTCAATCGCTAGACTTCACTTGAATTAGCTAATATTCGAGTTAGAAGATAAGTCAGGTTTAGAGTAGCTGTGCAATCAAGCATAAAAATACTTATCTCAGGAAAATCTAAGTTCAGTGCAGTAGAGAACCACGGAGGAGGTGCAGTAAAGGGCCAGGAGAAATAATGGGAATGAGATAATGGGAAGGTGAGATAATGAGAGCCAACCTTAAAAGGCATATGGGATCCTTTGCTTAATTAGTATAGAAAAATACAACTGAAGCAAAGAGATTATGCTAAATCTTTATCACTGATTAGGACTCAATTGGCATTAATTTTACAAATTTCGAAGATTTTCTGAAGTAAGGACCTAAAGCAGATTTAAAACCCACTTTTAGTGCCTTGCTAGGCAACTTTACTAACGATATTCTGTCAGCAGCCCCACTGGGAGAGAAGGGCATTTCTGCTGCTGTTAGGAGAATGACTTCTAGGTGGAAGATGTGTGAAATTCATAAAATTTTTGGTTGCCACTCCTACTGAACCATTATTGTGAAAGCGGAACTCTGTGAACCTGTGGCAACATCAGCTCCAGGGCAGAGGGTAGGAAAAGCTTCAATGAAAGTCACCTCTAGGAATCTGCCAGGCTTCACCTGCAGATTGAAATTCGCCAGGTGCTGATGTTCTCTTGGCACCCTCAATCTTGACCCTAGTAGCCTGTTGCTAGCCATTAATTCACCTAGAGGGCGATCCTGATTCATTTTTCTAAAAAACACCCCGCATTCAAAGCTACCTCTGCTTCTAGTACTACACTTTAGAAAGGAATGTCAAGGCTGAGGAGAAGCTGCAGAACAGATTCGTTAAAATGGGGATGGGGAATCCTAAGTTGTGTGGAGAGGCTGGAAAAAGAGAGTTGCTTTCCTTAGAGAACAGGAATTTATAAGATGATGTAGAGGTTTGGAAAAGCATGAAATTTTCATTTAAGCAAATAAAGGAAGATGTTTGCAGTGACAAGAGGGTCTGCGGCCAGAAGAAAGTAAAAGTGACATACAAAGACAAACGTAATAAAGACAAATTCAAAAGAGAATTCGATAAATACTTCAAGTGAAATAATTTACAGGGCTATAGGAAAGAGCAGGGGAAGTGAAATTAATTGAGTAGCTCCATTAAAGAATGGCTTCTTCCTTACTGTACCATTAATAATTCTAAGGATGGTGGTGGAATTTGACCCCAACAGCTCAGGGCAAGAGAATAGAAAAGAAAAATAACCAGGAAAACCATTTCTAAACAATAGCCAGAAAAATTGCAGTTGTATGGTTGCCTGTTGAAGACAATTTTTATTGCTAGGCTGTGATGCATGCTCAAGCTCAAAATTAACTTTCTGGCTCTGACACGAATGATATTCACTCTAGCCCATGAAACCATGTATCCTAACATAAGTCAACTTCTACAAAAAGGGGAGATAAAAAAGAACGAAAATGAGACTTGCGTCTCATAAATATTACTTTTGAGATAATGATTATGATATTTGAGTTTGTAGTGACCTTATTTATCCTAAATTGATTATGTTCTCTTCAGTTGACAGACAGATTTAGATATATCTCCCTGTTCTTTATTAAACTGGTAGGAGAAGTTCTACTTCTGGCATGAAACTCCCTACCGCTAAACATAAATCAAAGAACCAGGGCCAATTATAACTATTTACCGTTCACTGTTTGTGCTCAGGGACTCTAAACTTGCAGTGGAACTCTACAGAACGTTGTCCCTGGAGAAGTGCTTAACCTTGAAAACATGAAACTTTTATGCTTAGAGACGGATAATTAGATTATCAATGAGTGTCACCAGATTTATGGTAAATGTAAGCAAATATTACGTGTGTAAAACATTCAATTACATCATTTCATGGCAAACTCCGTACTGTTGTACAACTGTCGTACTGAGTTCAAATCAATGACTATCTTGTCACACAAAAAAGATTTGCAATCATTTCTAAAAAGTCAAAGTTACAGCATATTGACTGTACAATTAATTAATGTAAATAGAATTTTTAACTCGAGCTGACTACTTGAGATCTTTAATATTCCTTTTGAAAGTATTATATTTAATAATATAACTGCCACCATCTGACAAAAGACATGATAGTAATCCTGTTATTTGCTCTCATAGCAAAAAGTTAGATCCTTGTCAGTAATTGTGAAAGTTGATAGGAAATTTTATTGATTTTAATTAGGTTTTATCTTGTTCTTTCTACTTGGCTCTATTCAGACCTATTAAATCATAAGAAATAAAAGCAGTTTCAGATCATTCAGCCCCTCGAGCCCATTTGATACAATCATGGCTGATCTTCTACTTTATTTTCTGCCTGCCCTTAATATCGATTTATTCCCTTGAATATACATATCAATAGAGTATCCATAACCCCCTGGAATTGGGAGTTCTAAGAATTCACGGCCTTCTGAATGAATATATTTCTTCTCATCTCAGGCTTTTCTACCATGAGAATACACCCTCCATGTTCAGAACTCTGCATTCAAGGGAATAACCTTGTCAATGTCTACCCTGTTGAGCCTCTTTATAATGAACAACAATAAGAGAATCAGCAAAAAATACCCAGCCCTGGCTCAATACCAGATAAAATATAAAATTATGCAAGGCATAGAAAAGATAGATTATGAGAATCCTTTCCCCATGGCAGGTGTGTCTAAGACCAGATGGCATACTTTTAAGCTGAGGAGTAAGTAGTTTAGAGGGGATCTCCAGAAAGAAAATTTCACCCAGAGGGTGGTAGATATATGGACCATGCTGCCTGAGAGCGTAATGGAGGCAGAGTACCTACTCTCTTAACATTTAAGAAGTATCTGGAGGAGCACTTACAATGTTAGGGCAAAGTCAGCTTTGGACCAAGTGCAGGTAAATCGGATTAGTATGGTTTTGTGTTTGCTGGTTGACATAGACATATGGGTCGAAGGACATGTTTCTATACTGTATGAACAAAACCAGAAATTGCTGGAAAAGCTCAGCAGGCCTGGCAGCATCTGCGAAGAAAAAATCAGAGTTAACGTTTTGGGTCCAGTGACCCTTCCTCAAAGGCCCTTCTGTTTTTTTTCTGGCTTACAGCATCTGCAGTTCTTTCGGTTTCTATACTGTATGATTCTGAGTTAGCTCTGAGTCAGAGATATATAACGGCTGCTCTGCCAGCTGAGTAGGTGGAGCAAGTTACAGATTTTCTCTTTAGTGGCAGAATATGATTCTTTGCTTTGAGGCCCTGCTTAGGGCAATGGTATTAATCATGCTTCTACTGATGGTATGATGCCACCCATCTAAAATCAAATTGCAGTTCATTGTCATCCCATTCATTTTGCAAGAATGAACATTAAAGTTGAATCAGAGATAGTAGGAACTGCAGATGCTGGAGAATCCGAGACAACAAGGTGCAGAGCTGGATGAACACAGCAGGCCAAGCAGCATCATAGGAGCAGAAAGGC